CTCCTAATCGCTCACCTGTCTGCCTGCCTGATCTCCCCTCACTGCCTCTGCATGCCGACCTGGTCGCTCCTAACTTCCCCCCCACCCCGCAGGCCTGGTCCCCCCTAACTGCCCCCCCCGCCAGCCTGGTTGCCCCACACAGCCTGCTGTTCAGTCATTTGGTTGTCCCTCACTAATCCCCCTGCTGGCCTGGATCTCACCACGCTGCCTGCTTGTTCAGTTGTTTGGTCGTACCTCACTAACCCCCCTGCTGACCTGGTCACCCCACGCAGCCTGCTGTTCGATTGTTACTATTAGTGTGAAGGCATCCTGGACAATTTGCATATTCCTCTATTATTAGTATAGATTTATTTTTAGAGCAACTTTAGATTCACAGAAATACTGAGAAGATGTAGAGATTTCCAATATACCCCTGTCCCCATACATGCATAATCTCCCCCATTATCAACATTCTTCACTACAGTGGTACATTTGTTTCAATTGATGAACCTACAATGATACATCATTATAATACAAAGCCCACTGTTTACATTACAGATCCTTTGTACTGGTGTACATTCTATGGGTTTAAACAAATGTATAATGATATATAAGGGTGGAGATTATATGTATATAATCTCCACCCTTATATAGTATCATACAGAGAAGAATCTTTGCCCTAAAAATCCTCTGTAGTCTGCCTATTCATCTCTCTCTCCACACATCCCTTGGAAATGACTGATCTTGTTATTATCTCCATAGTTTTGCCTTTTCCAGAATATCACAGTTGAAATGATACCATATGTAGCCTTTTGAGATTGGGTTCTTTCACTTAGTAATATAAATTTAAGGTTTCTGGGATCTCTATCAATGAGTTAATAGCTCATTTCTTTTTAGTGCTAAATAGCAATCCACTGTCAGAGTATAACAAAATATATACATTCATCTACTAAAGGACACCTTGGCTGCTTCCAAGATTTAGCAATTATTAACAAATCGGCCATAAACATTTGTGTACAGGTTTCCATGTGGATATAAGCTTTCAGCTCTTTAAGAAAAATACCAAGGAGCACAATTTAAGGCATTGTATCTTCAGAATATGTTTAGAAAACACCAAATGTCTTCTATTATAGCACATCATTTACCATTCCCCTCAGCAATGTAATCTCATCAGCAATTGCATTCCTACCAGTTCCTGCTGCCCCACATCTTTTCTAGCATTTAGTGTTGGCAGTGTTCTGGATTTTGGCTATTCTAATAGGTGTATAGTGGTATCTTACTGTTGTTTTCATTTGAAGTTTCCTGATGACATATGATGTGAAGTATTTTTATATTCTTATTTGCCATTTGTATATCTTCTTTGGTGAGGTGTATGTTCAGATGTTTGGCCCATTTTTTAATTGGTTTGTTTTTCTCCTAGAATTTTAGGTTCTCTCTATATTTTAGATAGCAGTTCCTTCTCAGATATGTCTTTTGCAAATATTTTCACCAAGCCAGTGGTTTGTCTTTTTGACACTTGCAAGTGTCTTTTGTAAAGCAGATATTTTTAATTTTAATAAAGTCCAGCTTATCAATCCTTTCTTTCAAGGATCTTGCCCTTGTTGTTTTATCTAAAATGCCATTGCCAAACCCAAAGACATTTAGATTTTCCCTATATTATCTTCTGTTTTATATGGTCTTGAATTTTATATTTAGGTCTATGATAGATTTTGAGTTCATTTCTGTGAAGAATTTAAGGACTGTCTTTAGATTTTTCTTCTTTTTTTAAATTTGTGGATATCTAGTTGTTCAGCACCCAATTATGAGATGATCTTTTTTTTTTAATATATTTTATTGGTTTTTCACAGAGAGGAAGGGAGAGAGATAGAGAGTTAGAAACATCGATGAGAGAGAAACATCGATCAGCTGCCTCCTGCACATCTCCCACTGGGGATTTGCCCGCAACCCAGGCACATGCCCCAGACCGGAATCGAACCTGGGATCCCTCAGTCCTCAGGCCGACGCTCCATCCACTGAGCCAAACCGGTTTCGGCGAGAAGATGATCTTTTCTGAATTGCATTGCCTGTACTCCTTTGTCAAAGATCAGTTGACTACATTTCTGTAGATCTATTTCTGGGCTATCTTTTCTATTCCATTGATCTATTTGTCTATATTTCTGCCAATATCAAACTCTCCTAATTACTGCACCTTTGTAATAAATACTTAATTCCTCCACAATGTCAGCCCTCCAACTTTGTTCTCCTTCAAAAATGTGTTGGCTATTGTGGGTGTTTTCCCTTTCCATATAAATTTTGAATCAATCTGTCAATAGCCACAAAATAACCTGCTGAGGATCTGATTGGGATTGCCTTCATTCTCTAGATCAAGTTGGAAAGAACGGCCATCTTCACAACAGTATCTTCCTATATGAACATAAAATATTGCTTTATTTATTTAATTCTTCTTTGATTCCTTACATTAGAGTTTTGTAGGTTTCTTCCTATAGATCTTGTAAATATTTTATTAACATGAGTGTTTCATCTTGTAGGCTTCTCATGTACATGGTATTTTGGATTTAATTTCAAAAGACATTTGCTCATTGCTGGTATATAGGAAAGCAATAGACTTTTGTATATTAACCTCTTATCCCGAAACCTTACTGGAGTTCCAAGAGATTGTTTTTATCAATTCTTTTAAATTTTCTACATAGACAATCATGGCATTGGTAAAAAACAGTTCAGTCCTTCTCTCCTAATCTGTATAAATAATTCAATAGTTTTAAATTGCACATTGTGAGTTGTGTGATAAAATCTCTTGGCATTCCACTCCATACTGCCCAAGATTTGAATCATCCCTTTGTCCAGCATACTCAATCTGTATACTCTCCCAGACTGTTAGCTACTTAGTAGCCATCTTGATTAGCAGATTGACTGTTGCAGTATCACACTGCTTATGTTCACATTAACTTTTATTTTACTTAATAATGCCACATTCACATAACTTTTATTATAGTATATTATTATAATTGTTCTATTTCATTATTAGTTGGTTATTAATATCCTACAGTGCTGAATTTATAAATTGAATTTTATCATAGGTATGTAAGTGCATTTAAAAAAAAACATAGTATGCATAGGATTTGGCACTATCCTTGGTTTCAGGCACCCATTGAGCATCTTGGAACTCATACCCTGTGGATAAGGGGGGACTGCTATAAAGAGATCATGGACATCTGTCAGATGAATACAAAATCTTAGTGATAAAGGCAAAGTTCGTGAACAGATCATTGACATAAGAAATATATGACCGGAAAGATAGAAAATTATAATCTGTAAGCAATCCAAAAAATGGAAATTGAAATAACATACTTTTAATCACATAGAAAGCTATCCAATTTCTTTAATTCAATGCTGGTTAAAGTTTATACTAGTGGAGAGGTAAAAGAGCACAACTCTTCACAAAAGCCCTTTTGAAAAATGAACCAAGAGCTTTAACGTGTATGTACTTTAGAATGCAGCCAACTCAGAGAATCTCACTTAGAAAAATTATCTAGATATGAAAAAGAACCATATGATATCACTCGCATTTTGGATATAAAATAGAAAGCAACAAACACAGACAACAATATGATGGCTACCAGAGTGGTGGGAGGGAGGAGAGGGTAAAGGGGGAATAAATAGTGATAGAAAGAGAAATGACTGGGGGTAGTGAAAACACAGTACAATATACAGATGATATATTATAGAATTGTATACTTGAAACCTATATAATTTTATTAACCAATGTCACCCCAGTGAATTCAATAAAATGTTTAAAAAGGAAAAACTCTAAATAGAAAAAAGTATTATACACAAAAATGCTCACTACTACAATATTTATATTAATAAGAAAATTTAAAAACGGAAAAAACCTAAATGCTTCTGATTATGGTTAAGTAATCTATAAGAGACACTTACCGATGATATATTCTACAATACTTATCAGTCTTAATTTATATAATTAATAAGGGTCTATGACATTCAAGTAAAACTTTATAGTAAGCATGAACAGATTTCAACTTAACACAGGCAGTAAGATTTCAAATATGTTAACAAAAAAATTAATAAAAAGCAAAATATAGAACAAAAGTAAAATCCCAATATATTAATAATAGTGTAGTCTAAATATTCACATTGCAGATGACATTTATTGTGTTTCTACATTTTCCAATTTTCTATGATGAAACATTAATTTATCTTCATGGAGCCGCCCTACCACCTGTGAAATTCTTAACTCTGTATTTTAAATGGAAGTAAACTAAATTTCTATATTATATATGCTATTTTAATAAGGCTTCTCTTACAAGGTGCCAAGTGTAATTATTAACTGATTACTATTTTATTATTGAGAACTTAATGTCAGAACTATGAAAACAAAATATATTATAGTCTAAACTTATTTTTTTTTCTGAAAAATACTTAAACATATATTATGAACTGCAAAGCAAAAGCTTTCCAAAACTACATTTTGCAGAGTACATTGGTTTTATACTTGAATATTTGGATAAAATGAGTAAATATATATTTGACAAATATTTCAAAATTTTAAGATACTTATCCTTCTGTACATGTAGATAATCCTTTAGTAACCTATCCATATGGGAAAAATATTTTCTAAAATGAAATTTCCAACCTTTCACTTTATAGCCAATGTAGTTTATTTTAATGATTTAATTTTAATATAATCCTTTAAAAATTACCCACACAATGAATAAAGTACTAAACTGACCTTTTATTTAAAAAAATTATATCCTATTTTTTCAAGCAAGGGTTACTCATTGGAGATTATATCCATGCTATCTATCAAAATTCAATCTCAAAGACTCACAATTTAAGAAAAATGCAGAGCAATCATAATTTTATTTTCTAATATTAATATTTTAAAAAAATATCATATCCCTATTTTTAAACTTTCAGCTGCTTAAGTGAAAATATTTGGTTTATGCACATCACTTGAATGTTTCATATTACATACCAGTAGCTTGAACATGACATGGTCGAATAAGAGGAACCCGAGGCACAGGAGATTGTGACAAACGATATTGAGTGTAAAGTTTTGAAGATTCAAAGAAATTAATGTGAATGTCAAAGTCAAATTCATACGTTGTCACCTGACAGACAAAAAATACATTACATATATGACTATTTTGCTATAAAAGTTTGTGATATTTTTATTATATATACATAAAGTGTGATTTGATGATATACATCTATCTACACTAATAAAAGAGAAACATGGTAATTGGCGTACGACCGCTACCCTTTTCATTGGCTAATCAGTGAGTATATGCAAATTAACTGTCAGCCAAGATGGCGGCCGGCAGCCAGGCACTGAAGCGAGCACGAGGCTTGCTTGCTGCAGACTCCAACGTTCACCGCCTCACTTGCCGGCCTCTCATTTGCAAGTCTAAGCAACTATATACTATGTTGCAAATAAGAAGGTAAACAAA